AATATTATAAAGATATATCGAGTCAATATACACTTTCAATATTTAGTCAAAATATTCCATATCTTATTTGACCACATGCGAGCATATTATTCCAAAACATGAAATAACTTAAATTCCAAGAAAGAATCCAACGGGTGGGGCGTGCCACCCATGTGTGGCACATGTAGGCCCCGCCCACTTGACACATAGCGGACCCATGTGCACTATGGGCCCCTCCATGATATTTTATATAATTTTAAATTATCAAAAAAAACTCTAAAACATTATTTGAATTTTATAATTTGATAAAATCGATATCTTCAATTTTATAAGTCCAAAAAAATTATAAAATATCAAATGACTTATAAAAATTCAAATCATAATTCTAAAATAATTTCTATCATAAAACAAAAATTGAATTAATTTGATGGGAAATGGATCCATATGGTTAAGGAATTTAATCTGCAATCATGGGGCACTCCACCTTCAACTGTGGACTACAGACCACACTTGCCTTATCAAACCCATCCAATGTTTCCATGAACCACAATCCAAGCACGGGCTCATTAACGAGTCACCAAAGTCTGGCAGATGAGCCAAGGGGTCACAATCTCAATCCGTGGATTACAGGTCCTCCCCTAGAGACAAGTTAAGGTCATCAATACCTTATGCGACCACAACTCTATGGCAGTTAGGGGTATCTCTCCACATGCATACGTTTGACCTTAAAAGGTGGATTTCTGGCTTTACCTAATGATCTATCGGTATACATGCAATGTGATGGTACGTGGATGAGGTTTTGGCCCCTGTCTCTGTAGGCCACCTTTACACATAAGAGTCACGCAGTCCCTCAGCTCACTCATCTGGGCATGTTCTCTGACCTCATTAAGGGCTAACCCATAAACCCTCATCAATTTGTTCTTCATGCCCAGGTAACATGAGTTTTTCCCAACCAACTGTCCTAGATCGTTAAGTACAAATCGGTATCAGCAAACCATCGTTTGCTTAGTATGGTCCACGAGAGACCACACTCCCACTGAATTCATGTTCCACTATATCATTTCAATTTACAAGCACTCATAAAGCCTTTATAGGCCACATAAACCCAACAATTTAAAGGTAGAGAAGAGTTTAAACCTAGCCAATGTTTATCCATTCTCTCTTTGTACCTTACATTAGGTTTAAACACTTCCTTACCTTTTAAACGCTGCCCTATGTTTATACATTTTCTCTCCTACGCTTACCCATTCTCTCTCTATACTTTATATTGAGTGGGTTTAAACTCTTCCCTATGTTTATCTCTTCTCTCTCTTATGTTTATCCATTCTCTCTATACCTTAGGGTTTAAACTCTTCCCTATGCTTATTCAGGATTTCGGTTGTTGAACAACCGAAAATCCATTCAATTCGGTTGTTGAACAACCGAAAAAAGGAAAATCTAGAGAATACGCACAATACCTAAGAGAAAAAAATTATGTTCTTGAAGAACCGAAAAAAATTTCGGTTCTTCAATCACCGAAAATTTTTAAATTTTCAGTTTTTGAGAAAAACAGAAATTAGCCTGATTTCGGTTGTTGACCAACCAAGAATCCATTGAATTCGGTTGTTCAACAACCGAAAAAGGGTAAAATTATCTTTTTTTTTAACTTTCGTTATGACATGAAAAAAAGGACAAATAGGTAATAATGAAAACTATTCGATAGTTTCGTAATAACGCAAACTATAACGGATATGTACGTAATTTGCCCAAATATTTAATTAAGTCGAGATTCATAGATATGGAAAAATAAATAAAATAAAGGGAAAATATCCTCATACTCCCTATTATTTGTTTTCATATCTCAATAGACCCAAAGATTAAAAATATATCTCCTAACCCTTTGACTAACTTTATCCTCTTTTAACTAAAAAAAAAAATGCTCATTCTAAACCCTTACTCTCTTTGAGTGACAAATTTCTCTCTCTCTAATATTTACCCTTTTTGTTTATCTAACGGGGGAGAGAAAGTGAGAGACACATGAGAAGAGAGTAGGAAAATAGGTAGAGAGAGATTTAGGAGAAAATTACATAAAAAGAGAGAAAATATGGTGTTTAGAAAGGATATGTCTTTTTTATATTTTTTTGGAGCAAAAAAATAGGTTTAAAGGGGATAAAGTTAGTTTAGGGGGTTAAAAGATATAAAACTTAGAATTTTTTTGACCCAAGCTATATTTTAAAACCTTAGGTCTATTGAGATATAAAACTTAAAAATGAGGGGTATGGAGATATTTTCCCAAAAATAAATATCAAATCTTAAAAATATTACATCTTAAAACACATTATCTCAACTATTTATTTTCAAAATTTTATGTATTTATGAATCTACTTGATTTGAACTATTTTTAGAATTTTATATTTTATAATTAGAGATAAATGTAGATTCTCTGGCCGTCCTATGAATTTTCAACACTAAGACGCCTTCTTATGACAAAATTTGGAGGTGCATCTTACTTTGACTGTTTAAGATTGCAACCTGCAAACCACACCCTTGTGTAAAATTGAGAAGGCTATTTAGTGTGTAAACATCAGTTGGTTTAACCTAAGAATTTTAGATGATGGAAATATCAAATGAGTTAGTTTAAAATTTTGCTAAAACTTATTCTACTCCTATGGTAGTAAAATGTCTATTTACTCCCTTGGATAAAACTCCACCTAGAATTTAATTTATGACCCCAATTTTTTGGGGTGTAACTTTTTCAACCCACCACAATAAAAAAATTTCCTTATTATACTCTCTATGCACATGAAAAAAAAAAAGAAGGAAAAATTATAAAAAAAACCCCTAAGACTACACTTTCTATGCAACTTACCCCAACCTAACTCATTATCTCACTTTTTTCCCCAAAACGAACTTTCTATGCAAA